GTTTTTCTCAAAAACAAAACCTTACCATCCACATGAGGATTCACACTGGAGAGAAACCTTACACATGCACAGAGTGTGGTAAAAGTTTCCCACATACAGGCTCACTCAAACACCACATGATAAGTCACACCGGACAGAAGCCGTTTGCATGTGTTCATTGTGGAAAGAGCTTCACAACCAAAGCTAGCCTCATGAACCACATGAATGGTCACACTGGAACCACATGTGATCATTGTGGAAAGAGTGCAAAGACTCCATTAAGCAACACATGAAGACTCACTTAGGAGAGCGTTTTCGATGCAGTGAGTGTGGAAAGGTCTTTAAACATAAAAGAAGCCTCATCAATCACATGAAGCTTCACAATGGAGAGAAAAAATGAGGCCTTGTCCAGCGGAGCTTAAGGCTCTCCCGGGATATCATCTCGGGACAAGTGTAAACTCTTGAATACATCTCAAGTTACTGGAATGAAACCCTTTGAACCTGAAGATTTAAACTCAATAACTGAAGGGGGTGAAGATGTGCCAGGTTGTGAGAGTTTCTACAGGGCTGCAATGAAGCAAAATAACTCTATATGTGTTTCAAGTTATTATGAACTGAGAACCAAATTTGTGCACATTGCACACTGCAATCAAATGATCGGCTCTGAAAAGAGAATTAGAAAGATTAGGGAGGAGAAAATGTTTGGGGAGATGCAGAGAAAACTGTCCTACACTCTTAGATTGTGTTTTTGATCGTTCACACTGTTTGATTTTTACTCCCTTTAATAAACAGATTTGCCTCCAATTTTGGGCTTTTGTCTGCAGTTTCACAAAACTTGTTGGTGAATAAAAGTTGGCCGGTGTGAACTTGCAGTGACAGTGAGAGACTGATGCAGACTCCATAAAGCCCTGTTCAGACTACACAATGCCATTTGCCAGTTACCACAGATCAGATTTATGTCAGATTATGAGATTTTGACTTGATCAAATCTTGATGTGTTGTGGGTAACAAATGAAGACTTTGGTTTCAAAACACAACACATTTATTTTGATGGACTGATTTTAGAAAATAAAAAAGTTTTCCTCATGAAGACAATTAAACTTTCTGTAAACAACTGGTTACCTTTGAAGAGATGTTCATGTGAAAACTCCCACATTACTACAAATAAATCTGTGTATGGGAAGCCCAGTATCTCTATTGTGAATGAGAATATGAGTGATTTGTTAGCTTACATGCTAATTCCAGTACTCAACAGATTACTGAAGCACTTCAGCTATCTGTTTATTCAAATTATATATATATATATATATATATATATATATATATATATATATATATATATATATATATATATATAATATATATATATATATATATATTTATATATATATAAATATATATTTATATATATAAATATATATTTATATATATATATATATATTTATATATATATATATTGTTGTTACATATGTGTGTGTGTGACTACTATTACTAACAGCAATGTTAGGTGGCCAAAATAAAACTGAAAAAGGATACTTTTTAAACTAGTATGGGTCTATAAATCTCATTGTCACCCTCTAAAAGGTTTAAAAACCAACATTTATAAATTTATATATTTATGAATGAAGAATTTTTTGCAAAGCATAAATGGTTATTAACTACTTAATGCTGTGTACAATTTTCTTTAGTCACATTAAATTTAACTTGTTTATTGCAAAAAGGGTTTACATGGATATTGACATGAGACATGAGTATATGCAATTATAGAAAACATGCTCAGTGTTTTCAATATGACTTTTACAAAATTGACAAGATCTCCTTATTATCAACTTTTAATCTCAGGAATTCTTTTGATGGATACACATCATTAATCATTTAAAGTGAAGTTCTTTAATTTTGGGGAGAATTGAATAAGAAATGTGACTTGTTTTTTTTTTCTAATTCCTGTGAATTAAAATGTTTAAAAATAAATGAGGTCTGAGCTGATTAGGATGAAGCCTTTGGATAAGAATATTCCTTTAAAACTTATTTTTACATTTTGGATCTCTAAAAAATAAAGATGGAAGAGAGAACATTACAGAATAGTGTGAAAGAAAACCTCTGATCAATACTGTGATGTTTTTAGGGATAATATTAATTATTGTTTTAAACTCTTTAGGGTGACAAGCAAAACCCTGTTTAAAGAATGGGTTGAATCATTTTAATTTAGCAAAAAGATTGTCATTTCAAGTTAAAAAGTCAAATGTGATTATAATCTATTTTAACAAGTTTCCATTTAATTTTGATGAGATCACAAGCACCAAAGCCACTCCTTCCATCTGCTCCATCAATAGAATATCCACCTGTTACCTCAGATGCCACTGAACTTTTACTATAGTTCCCACTTTGATTTTGGCCACAACCAGTACCAGCAGTACCACCAGCTCCACCGACAACAAGTATAGAGATGCTGTAGCACTGGGAGCCACTGGACAATGTACCACGTGCCCCCTCAAACTACTTAACACAGTGATCTTTTTTTTTTTTTTTTTTAGCTCTGCACAGTTGCCAGACATTCAGAATCGCTCCCCAGCAAACATCAGAAACAGGTGGGTTCAACAAAGGTTTCCACCCATGTAAAAAAAAAAAAAAAAATGTTGTTCAACAACAAATAGTTGTAAAAACTATAATATACAGCCCCTTTAAAAGTTTGGAATATTTTATAATAAGCTTATTGTGCTCACTAAAACGTTATTGCATTTTTAAATCACTGTTCTTTTATTAAATGTTCTTTAAAATTTTATTTCTTCACGTTTAAGCCTGAATTGTACGCATGATAAGTCTTCAGTGTCATGATTATGGAGGCCCAAGAGTACGGTGGCCGGGAAGTGCAAAACAACATTACAAAGTTTGAAACACTTTTACAAAGCTCGAGACAAATTTACATTTTGAAAAACATGTTTACCTATCATCAGACACAATTACATAGGGAAAACAATTTTACCAAGGACGAAACAAATTTACATTTTAGAAAACAAATTAACAAGACGCAAAACACTTTTACAAATCCCGAAACAAATTTACAATTACAGATTCCCTACGGAGAGGGAATGTACCACACCCCGGAAGTGACGTAGAATGTACCACACACCGGTAGTGACGCGGGGGAAAGTTGTTGTTGTTGCTGGTGAGCACGGTAAATTCGCGCTGTGGAGTACATGGCGTAAACAAAGTTTATGGTGACCGAACATGGACAGCGGTCGAGGGTTGTTTTGCCCGTTTTGTGGCAAACACATGAGCAGCTTAACACGGTTTTGCTTTGCAAGTGGTCGGTGTTTAGAGTTTATAAAGGACGCGGAACAGACGGAAACACCAGACATGCTGCATCAATGTGTTCAATATTTTTACGAGATCCACTCGTACGCTGTAATCGTGAACATGATGTCAAGTCTACATGGTGTAAACCTCTGCTTGAGGACTCTTAAAAGTAAACTGATGGAAGCCTGTGTTATGGTTTAACTGGTGTCCGTGTTAACTGAGGCCCCCTTTCAGATGTGCAAACTATCCACGTTATTGGCAGATTCGTCACTTTTTCACAGCAACATGCCATACCAAATAAAGATTCTTATTACTTGGTGTCAGTGTAAATATTGTTGATTTAATATTTGTGTGGCAGAACAGCATAAACCAAAATAATCTAAAGAAATAAATATAAATGACATGTCATCAACGGGATTCAAACCCAAGTCAAAAGGTTCTGCTTTAGTATCAACCGATTTATCCAACCAAGCTACTCCAGTGTACAAGTTGAACTTGGTTTTGGTATCTTATCAGTCAACATGTGCCGTGCTTGAATTGTTTCCATGTACTTGCATTTACATGTTTCTATGCACTCTCACGCTGATATTTTCTTAGAATAGCTCTAGCATGTTTTATCGCAGTTAGTCAAACCATGATTTTTATAGTTGTAGACTTGTGAAAACCTGTCTACAAAGTCACACACGAGCTGGATATTATTGATATTTTCCAGTGTGTGTGTTACATTCCGGTTCACTACCAGTGTGTGGTACATTCTATGTCACGTCCGGTGTGTGGTACATTTCCTTTCCGTAGGGAATCTAATTGTAAATATGTTTTGGAATTTGTTAAAGTGTTTTGCGTCTTGTTAATTTGTTTTCTAAAATTTGTTTTGTTCTTTGTAAAATTGTTTTCCCTATGTAATTGTGTTTGATGATAAGTAAAAATGTTTTTCAAAATGTAAATTTGTCTCGAGCTTTGTAAAAGTGTTTAAACTTTGTAATGTTGTTTTGCACTTCCCGGCCACCGTACAAGAGTGCTAGTTAGAAAAACAAAGACTCAAATGATCAATTTAATTATTGAAGCATAAAAATGTTTTTATTTTCTTGTCGGCTTAGTCCCTTTATTAATCTGGGGTCGACACAGCGGAATGAACCGCCAACTTATCCAGCAAGTTTTTACGCAGCGGATGCCCTTCCAGCTGCAACCCATCTCTGGTAAACACCCACACACATATTTACACAAACACTCATACACTATGGACAATTTAGCCTATCCAATTCACCTGTACCGCATGTCTTTGGACTGTGGGGGAAACCGGAGCACCCGGAGGAAACCCACGCGAATGCAGGGAAAACATGCAAACTCCACACAGAAACGCCAACTGAACCGAGGCTCGAACCAGCGACCTTCTTGCTGTGAGGGGACAGCACTACCTACTGCGCCACTGTTTCGACCAGCATAAAAATGTACATAAATAAATCACAATTTAAATGTTTTTAAATGTCATTTAATTATCAATAAAACAATGCATTGCATATACATTTTAAATCTATAAATAGACACTTTTATTACTGTATTATTATTTAATCCATGTTTTAAAGGCTGATTAATCAAACAGTAAAATTTGTATTAATAAATCACAAAACACATTTTAAACAGCTTTTTAAATAAGCATTTGGCAAATGCTTTTCTCCCTATTTGCTGTTTGGTTTTCTTTTTCTTTTGCCACATGCTTTTCTCAAATTGAAAATGAATCGAGTTAAAAAATGGCTCTGCTGTAATGAGCTATTGTTTTCCTCTCTTAGGAAAAAAAGACAGTTAACAGTTTTATCTAGATTAAATGACCGTGGTGATAAAGATTTTCTTGGAGATATAGAACAAAATGAACTTCGTATTTTGCCATCAGAGTTAGATTACTATTAAACAGAAAAAGCTAAAGGACCTTTACAATCTAGAGTGAAATGGATAGAGGAGGGGGAGAAAAATTCTTCATATATATATATATATTTTATTTAGTAAAGCATAGACAATCTTCAAAAACTATTAATAAACTTAGCATAAATAACAATGTAAGTGAAGAGAAAACTTTGATTGATGATCACATCTATTCATGTTATTATATGAATCAAAATTTAATGAGAGTGATTGTGACTTTTTCTTTTCCTTTTCAAAAGATAAAGTTTCTATTATAGATGACAGCTTCTGTGAAATGATGGAATCTGACATTGTTATCTCTGAACTTGATGTTGCTATTTCTCAAATGTTCAATGGAAAATCCCCAGCTACAGATGAAATCACAGTTGAGTTTTATAAACATTTTTGGCCAGAGATGAGATTTTTAGTTTTTGAAGCACTTAAGGAATGTATAGAGAAAGAGAACTATCGACTTCTATGAAGCAGGGTTTAATCATTTAGTTCCAAAGCCAAGCAAAGACCAATTATTTTTAGACAATTGGAGACCCATAACTCTTTTGTCCAATGATTTTAAATTGCTCTCTCATTTATTTGCCATTAGACTCAAAAAAGGTATAGGCGAGATAATAAATGAAACACAATCAGCTTTCATTAAAGGGAGAAGTATTCACAATCATATCAGACTGATAGTTGATATGCTCGATTATAGGTATTTAATTCCTCAGACAAGTTTGTTTCTATTTCTAGACTTTTTCAAGGCATTTGATACCCTTGAGCATCCTTTTTTGTCTTTAGAAAATCTTTAGAAACTTTTGGGTTTGGTCCGAGCTTTTGTAGGGTAATTTCCATGTTCTATACTGATATATTCAGTAGTAAATCTCTGAATTCAGGATCATCTCCTAAAGTATACATCAAAAGAGGAATCCATCAAGAATGTCCCATCTCACCTTTTCTTTTTAATATAGCTGTTGAACTTATGTCATTATAATTAAAAAATTCAGAGTACACTTTAGGTATTGATATACCTGGTAGGACTTTTAGTTTAAGTCAGTTTGCTGATGTCACTCTATTAATTCTTAAAAATAGGGAGATGCTCCCTTTAGCTCTTGTCAAAATTTCTGTTTCCTAAAGCTTCTGAATTCACCGTAAACCTAAGAAAATGTGGAATATTAACTATTCAGAATTGTACTTTAAGAGAATTAGAGGGTATTCAAGTAAAAGAACAAGTTAAATGCTTGGGAGTTACCATCATCAAAAATTCTGTTAATAGAGGATGTGCAAATTTTAATATCAAAATAGAAGGGATGGAAAAATCCCTAAATCATTGGCTAGCTAGAGACCTTTCCATATTGGGTAAAATTCTTTTGACCGGGATTATCTAAAATGATATATTTAACTTATCCTTTATATACTCCTCCCAAAATAGTTAAATCTATAAATTCAATATTATTTAAATTTATTTGGAAAAATAAAACACATTATTTACGTAAGAATCATATGGTCAAAGAGTATGAATATGGAGGTTTAAAAGCAATCGATTTTGAATGTCTTCTTGGCACTTTTAGAGTTAAATGGTTAAAAGAGTGTTTAGCTAAGCCTTATTCAATATTGTATCATATCCCAAATAATTTGTTTAAAAAAATGTTGGCCTTGAATTTGTATTAAGATATGATTATGATTGTTCAAAACTTCCTTTGAAGCTGTCTAATTTTCATAAGCAAGAACTACTTTTTTGGAAAATGATATTTACCCATATTTTTTCCCTCATAAATCCCCTCTTTGGAATAAAAGGGCTGTTATTATTAACAGAAAATCACTGTTTAAAAGTGACTGGTACAATAAAGGCATTATATTTATTAATGATTTGTTAGACAAAAATTGACTGCTACTATCTTAAAACGGATTATTAAATAAATATAGAGTTAAAATCACAGATAAAGGTTATACTGAAATTTGCGAGGCTATACCTATTGCTTTGTTTAGGTTAATTCAAAGTAATTATTTTGATCTCCCATTTATACTTACAACTTTTCTTCCATTTTTAAAAATATCAAATGTTGATATTTTCGATAGTAAATGTAAAATCAAGCTTATTTACAAACAATTTAAACGCTTATCATTGGTGATTTTAAGTGTCATCATCTAGGAGTTGTTAAACCCTTAGTAGAGGACAAAGCTTTTACCTTTTATCTTAAATATCATGTAGCACCAAAGGTTAAGGAAACTCATTGCAGAATTGTGTTCAGGATATATCCTGTAAATTAGTTTATTCAAAAAAGATTTAACTTTGATGTTAATAGATATGCTCAAATCTTCCAGAAACACTTGATCGCTTATTTTTTTCTTGTGAAATTAATTTTAAATTCTGGTTTGACATCCATCCTTGGCTTTCATTAACGATGATTTCAGTCCCCCTTATCGTTTCAGAAGATTTTTTATTTTACAAAGCTGATTACATTGTTCTTTCTCTGATATTGTGAACTTTATTTTACTAATGGGTAAATGTCATATTCATTGATGTAAGAGGAAAAAGTGCAGACCCTCTTTTAGATGTTTTCTTTCTGAGGTAGAGAAAGTGGCTCAAAGCTTCAAATACTTCAGAAATCAAAGTAAAATAACTGAAGCTCTCTGTACTTTATTTTTAAAACACTTATTGTCATAATGTTTTGTTTTTCTTTTGATGTAGATATTTTGTTGCAGTTGTAACAAATTAAATTTGTTTTATATATTTTAATGGTAAATATGCCTTGCGATGTTGTTTGTTCCCTGTTTTGTGATGTAAACTTTTTTGCAACAATAATAAAAAAAACCTTAAACTTAGTGGAATAAACAAGTTTTTCAAAATTGTTTTAAAATGTTTGGATTAAAAGTTTTGATCAACTTCAAATTCTAAATGTCGATGTATATGAGAGACAGCAGATATGTTGTGTAAAGTGGAAAACGAGGGAGAAATTGATCATGTCCTGACTGCAACAGTAAGTGGCCAAAAAAAAAAAAAAACTGAACAAAAAAGACTTTTATTTTGGCGTGGTGTGTGACGTCATTAGGCTGCGCCGTTTCCGCGCTGCAGTTCAACTGGAGGAAGGTTTGTTTCACAACTTTACACATATAAACCGATTGATTAAAGTTTTAGGTTTTTCTTCCAATATGACATACCTGCTGTTGACTATAATTTTAATTCTTTATACAACGAAGTACTATTTTAATCACAGTAATCGAGGGCTATTGTTTGAACAACAGAAATGTGTTTTAATGAAGGTTTTATTTATTTACTAGCATAATGTCATTCTAATATAAGTATACAATATTCTATATATATATATATATATATATATATATATATATATATATATATATATATATATATATATATATATATATAATAAATGGAGAACTAGTTTTTATTAGGTCATTTGTTTGTGGCTATTGTTTCTTGCTCAGACTTACCTGATTTATTTTTGTCAATCACCCTCATATAAAGAAACTGTTGAAGCAAGTGTTGAAGAGAAGTTATTTTGTTTCTGTTCATTGTTTTGTTCATTTTAAACAGAATAAAGTGTCCAAACACAGAGAAAAACCGACTGATCTCCACACTGTTATAAAGATGGCGTTTATTAAAGAGGAGAGTGAAGATGTGAAGATTGAAGAAACAATCACAGTCAAACAGGAAGATCTGCAGGAACAAACAGGTTAATTTTCATTCTCAAAACCAACTCAGTCATTTGATCCTCATTCAGATATATTTTAATAATAAAAACACTAAATTAAATCCATCTTGCAGCCCTGAGTGTGCTGCCTAGTTCTCTTAAATGCACATAAGCACTTATTGAAAGACAGGAACGAGTTTCTTTTGTTACTTGTTCTCAGGTCTTTTGTCATTATTTTATGTATTATTAGTCTCCCATTTTCTCTACCTTCTTAAGGTTGTTGCTTTTTTTGTTCTCCTACTGTTTGTAAGGTGTCCTTGCGCACTAAAAACATCCTTGAGCACTAATGTCGTTTTAAAATTATTATTGAACGAATCCTTATATTTGCGCGTCACTATACAAATTTATCAGGACTTTGATAAAATGAAAATGGAAAGGATTGGAAGGACATTTGCTGTGCTCTATTATTGATAGGGAAAAGGAAACTCTTTGCTAGATTGACATTGTATCCAGAAACATTTCCAAATTCTGAAATTATTGTAAAAACTTTTGGAATACATGTATCTGGATTCGACAGAAAAAGAAGATCATCCGCATATTATTATTAATATAGTCAGTCGACTGAGGTGGGCCGGACTAAGGCTTGAAATTCCAGAGCTAAAAAGGAGTCCCACTCCGGCCCTGTTCCCTGTCTGCTTTACACATTTTAGAAAAACATTTTGTTGTAAGTATAAATATATACAAATAAACATTCCATTTACAGCTTTCAAATCTGTCTTATTAATATGACCAAAATTACTTTTATGATCAATTATGTAAGAAAGTCTGAAAACTGGACTGACACGGTTTTAATTTACTATAACTTCTATGTTAAGTGGCTTTGACACCATTTGCATTGTAAAAGCACTAGATAAATAAAGATGAATTGAATTGAATCTGCTTAAATGTGTACATGTTAATGGACCAAACAAAATATGATCTGATTTATTTTACATTTACCATGCATCAAAATTACAGTGTGTGTAGCCAATGTTTCCAGTGTCTTTTCACTTTTCAGCTTTTGATGAGAGTTTTTAAGACTTAATGAAAACTAATGTTTTATCTATTTCAGACCTAATTGAAGAGAATGAGGGGAGAAAAGAGGAGGAACATCATGTCAAAATTGAGGAAAAAACTCATTTACAGACTGATGGTATTTTGAAAAGGGGAGACAAAAATAGTTTCACCTGCACTCAGTGTGGAAAGAGTTATGGAAGTAAAGACTATCTTAAGATTCACATGAGGATCCACACTGGAGAGAAACTATTCACATGCACTCAGTGTGGGAAGAGTTTTGGAAGAAAAAGGGAACTTAAGATTCACAGGAGGATCCACACTGGAGAAAAACCATACACATGCACTCGGTGTGGGAAGAGTTTTAGCCAATCATCAAACTTAAATCAACACATGAGGATCCACACTGGAGAGAAACCATTCACGTGCACTCAGTGTGGAAAGAGTTTTAACCGATCATCATCCCTTAATGAACACATGATGATTCATACCGGAGAGAAACCATTCACATGCACTCAGTGTGGGAAGAGTTTTGGAAGAAATTTCGATCTTAAGATTCACATGATGATTCACACTGGAGAGAACCCATTCAGATGCACGCACTGTGGGAAGAGTTTTAGCCAATCATCATACCTTAATCAACACATGAGGATCCACACTAGAGAGAACCCATTCACATGCACTCAGTGTGGGAAGAGTTTCCACCGATCATCATCCCTTAATAATCACAAGACGATCCACACTAGAGAGAAACCCTTTACTTGCACCCAGTGTGGAAAAACCTTTAACAACTCATCACACCTTTATGAACACATGCGGATCCACACTGGAGAGAAACCATTTACATGCACTCAGTGTGGGAAGAGTTTCAGCCTATCATCAAACCTTAATCGACACATGAGGATCCACACTAGAGAGAAACCATTCACATGCACTCAGTGTGGGAAGAGTTTCATCTGCTCATCATCCCTTAATCTACACATTATGAGCCACACTGGAGAGAAACTTGCACTTAAGCAGCGGTCACAATGGACTTTTTCCCCCATGGATTTCCATTCATACGCACGGGAATGTGTCAGACCGGAAACCAAGTTTGTGTGTCAAGTTTCGCAGTTCACTGCATTGCAAAGTTCAAGCTTGGTGAACTCTGACCTGCAAAATCGCATCACTTGACTGTGTGAGACCAATCAAAGATCAAAACATGACCTTTCTGGACAGAAATGTAAAATATGGACCAATAGCTCACTTTTTATGTCTAATAATCTTGTTTAATCCCGCCGCTTTTCACAGCGCCAAACAACAGAATTTTGCATGCTCAGACTCTAGTGTGACTGCAGCTTTGGTGTGGGATGAGTTTCAGCAACTCCTCAGACCTTAATAAACACATGAAGACCCACACTAGAGATAAACCATTAAATGCACTCCGTGTGGGAAGAGTTTCAACCGATTAGCAAACCTTAATGAACACATAAAGATCCACACTGGTGTGAAAGAGTATATGTGCTTGAGTGTGAGAAGACTTTTATTTCAAAATTTAAACTGCACCCGACGTTTCACACTGGAGAGACCGTACAAGTATTCACACTGTGACAAGAGGTTTAATCAGTGAACACATCTGAAAACACAAAAGAGGATTCACACTGGAGAGAAACCGTACAGATCTGATCAGTGTCTACAGAATTGGACAAAAGTTGCAAACATGACATGAATGCAGCAAAACATTTTCTCTGTGCACAGGATGTTTTATGTCTGAATAATGTTTGAAAAGGCTGAGTGACGATATACTGTTTTCCAACACTCCTACACTGCAGTAGGTGGGGTTGTAAATGTGTTGTGCTCCTCACGTTTACTGTAAACACAATGATGGTGGCTGAAAGAACAGTTTCGTAAACATCTGACAAACAGCATCTCAGCAGCTTAAAATCTCTCTTTGCAAATGATTGTACAGGTGCGGATACATCTGTACTCTACTCTCCAGTGTATTCATGTAGCTAGTATTGTTTTGGATGATGTTCTCTGTCTGACTCCCTGAATGAGTAGCATCACTGGAAAGACACAAATAAATAAAGATGAATTATGAATATTTGATGATTTAGGCAGAGTGAAAGGTATTAAGTTGTACAATATTACTACACTGTGATGATCCCAAGACTCCAGATTGGAGTATGTGGTAAATCCTGATTGGATGCCTGCATTACTCATTAATGGGTATATAAAAGTTGTTGTGCTAGGCTGCTAGCTAATCCAGGACGCTGTGGCTACTCAGGAGTCCTCCTGTCAAGACCTGCCATCTCATTAAATCTTTAACCTTATGGTTTTGTTTTGCATTGCTTGTATCATGTAGCTAAAGTGTTGTTGTGATTATATCATCAGTTCTTTATCTTCATTATTATCCCTAGACATTTGTTGGTTGCTTTGATTGATGGTTTTATGAGTTACTTTTATAATAAATAATTTGCATTCAGGCTATTTTGTTGGCTCATCTCTCTTTTATGTTGCGACTCAAACAAGCAGGTCATAACACTTTCTGAAATGTGTCCGGTTGTATTTAAGATCCTGTCCTTTCAGTCATGACCATAGGTGAGAGTAGGAACCTTGATTGAGCGGTAAATTGAAAAAATTGCCTTTCATCTCAGCTCGTTCACCACAACAGACAATCACATCAACTGCATTACTGCTGCCACTGCACTGATCCATCTTTTAATCTCACATTCCATTCCTCATGAAAAAAACGCAGATACTTGAGCTACATTTGAGTTAAGGACTTTCCTTCAAATTGGAGATGGCCACCTTTTTCCAGTCGAGCACCATGGTCTCTGACATAGAGGTGCTGTTTCTTTCCCTGCCATGTCACACTCAGCAGTAAACAGCAGTGGTGGGAGTAACGAATTACAACTACTCATGTTACTGTAATTAAGTACATTTTTGGGGTAATTGTACTTCCATGGGTAAAATTTTAAGCCTTTACTTTTACTTGTACATGAGTACAAATTAAGCTGAGTAATCTACTTCGTTACTTTTAAAATCACAATTCGTTACAGAGTACTGTAAATAAATTAATATTTCAAGCACGCACTGACCAGCATTTCGGTAGCCAATAAAAAAAGTTCATCTTAATGGACCAATGAAAAGCCTGGTATATTATTTGAACCGAAAAACAAGTTCAGGCTACTGCAGATTTACGTGACCGTCATCATACAGTCACAAAGTTATCAATTGACATATGGAGATTTAAGACAGAAGAAATGAGGAAGAAAAAGCAGAGGATGAATGCCCATGGCCACACCCGGAGGAGCTGTTCACCTACAGGTACATAGGGAAGAAAGGGGACAGCTGTGCTGATGCAGTGTGAATAGCTATGTTATCATCTAAAATGCTAATTAAATGTTTGCCCAAAACTAGAATATCGCATAAAAGACTATGCAAATTAAGCAGCGTTTCCATCCAACAAGTCAAAGAGAACAAAATCGCCACCTTCTGATTAACTGGAGACAAACATCAAAAGTAAAAACAGAATATGCATCGGTGGGAGCAGCTGCAGGAATATATTATCTTTATTTAATAAATGACTTGCGCCTCAGAAGGCAATCCTGACACGCAGTGAATGCGCACTGGTGTTTGAAGTCGCGAGACACGGAGTGCAGACACTCTTGACAATTTTGGAGGTCATTAAAATATTAATATAATAACAATACTGAAATGGTTGAGGTGGTTTAAAATGACCAAAACAACACTTTAGATGTTTTACAACAGTGGTTCCCAACCTTTTTCTTAGGGGCCCCCCCATGAACATATACAAACATTGGAGCCCCCCCACCATTTAAATACACACGCACGCACACCCATATATATATATATATATATATATATATATATATATATATATATATATATATATATATACACTGAATGTGTGTGTTTGTGTAATATTAATATATAATATGTATAGAAAATATAAATTAATCAGTTTTAACTTGTCTTGGCCATCAATAAAACCAAAATGTAGGTAGTCTTTGTCATACTGTCTAATCTTTTTCTTCGCCTCTGAAGAATCACTGCATTTACGTTTCTCTGCCGATTTTGTTTTGATTTTACCTTTACGACACGTTGACAAGCACATTGCGTGAGTGAGCAAAATTTAAATAATTATTTAAAGTTATTTATTTTAATTATTTTTACTATTATGTTGGAATTTTAAGCATGTGTTTTGATATATATATATATATATTTTTTTTTTTTTTTTGGTACTAAAAAATACATATTTAATAGTAAGGCTGCTCGATTTTGGGAAAAATCATAATCACGATTATTTTGGTCATAATTGTAATCACGATAATTCAAAACGATTATCAGTTAAAGTCAATATTATTAGCATTCCTGAGAGTTTTTTTTTTATTTTTTTATAAATATTTCCCAAATTATGTTTAACAGAACAAGGAATTTTAACAGTATTTCCTTTAATATTTTTTCTTCTAGGCTTATTTGTTTTATTTTAGCTAGAATAAAAGCAGGTTTAAATATTTTGAAACCAATTTAAGGTCAATATTATTAGCCCCCTTAAGCAATAAATATTTTTGATTGTCTGCAGAAGAAACTACTGTTATACAATGACTTGCCTAATTTCCCTAATTAAGCCTTTGAATTGCACTTTAATCTGAATGCTTGTATTTTGAAAAATATCTAGTAAAATATTATGTACTGTCATCACAGCAAAGATAAAAGAAATCAGTAATTAGAAATGAGATATTAAAACTATTATGTTCAGAAATAAGTTAAAAAAAAATCTTCTTTCCATGAAACAGAAATTGGGAGGAAAAGGTTTGCTAATATTCAGGAGGGCTAATAATTCTGACTTCAAGTGTTTACATACAGTTATTTTCCACCCTGCAAAGGAAAGAGAAATAAATACAATAGAACAAAAATATTAAACAAACCGTGCTTTATGCATCTTCACTGTAAGAAAAACACTTTAGCTACAGCAGTACTTTAGTCAAGACTAGTGAGGGATTTTCTCGTTGTTTGATTAATAATCATAAAAACAGGCGGCAGCAGGAATATTTCTCGCTGTCTCTTTGGTTTCTCTTTCACATGTCTTTTGATCCTGAACTCGTTTGTTTATTACACAAATGATGGTTAATATAAATAATCACTAAACATCGCGTTTTGACACCTATTTGACCATTAAAGCGCTCACGTTAATGACTTTAGATGTCTGCGCTCCTCTGCTCGTCTCAGTGTGCGAATGAGAGCCAATGCTGACCGGCCGCATGCTTCTGGCTGCGTGTGCGTGCTGCACACACACATAAGCACGCGCTCCTTCGCGCTTTTTAGAGCAACAGGTGTACAACTGTAAAGGTGGCGGTATATGATGCAATAATCCTTTATCTCGATTAACGCTTTTTTATAATCGTTTGAAATCGAAATCGGATTTTCGATTAATTGTACAGCCCTATATAATAGTGGAGCATTTTTTGCCTTTTTCTACCTCAACACTTATCCTCTCCCGCGCCCCCCTTGTGAACTCTGGCGCCCCCCTTAGGGGGGCGCGGACCCCAGGTTGGGAACCACTGTTTTACAATGTGCTTAGCCTGCTGTTTTGTCCATTCACACACATTTTCCAATAATATGCGCATTATAGAGTTTCCATCAACCGTTTTTATGTGCATATCCAAAAAGCGCAGAAATAAGTGGATCAAACCTGCACTCTGCTGTGCCATCTGGCTTACACAGGGTTTCCGTGGGGTCTTAAAAGGTCTAAAATATAAACATCAAAATTTTAGGCCCTAAAAAGCCTTAAATTCGCTGTTCTAGGTCTTAAATATGTTTGCACAGGTCTTATTTTCCGATGTACATGTAACGCTACTCCTAATGCTCATTTAAATAATTTTTTGTTGTTGCTTGGTTTCGTGGTGGTGTAGTTCTTTATTTCACTAGTCTTAATGTAATTTGCGGTATTAAAACTACAAATAAGACCAGCATGC